ACTAATGTTCGCAGCCGCGGCTGAGTCACCTGCGCTGCGTGTGCGCTGCGCCTGCGGTCACAAGGGCACGCCGGCCGCACCGGCCACTGTTCAGTAAACAAACACATACACGCGAAACCAGATTAAGGTCATCGGTTCTGATACACCTGGGAATACTAGATACAAACACACAATCTTCACATTAATAAAGGATGAACCTCTTAATTGTTACCTCTGTTTTCCTAACACATTAAGACGAAACAGTCATATCAAAATTTTGTTTAACAATAACAAAGGGATGGCTCAAATTCAAGATATTTAGACTTTAGAGAATAATAATTTAAAAGATCACCTCTTTAAATTATGAATACGAAAGTGAGTCAGTCTGTCTGTAACTCTTCAAGCTTAAACAGCTGAACGGTTACTCATACGGAATACGGTAAGTAACCATTTACCGTATGGATGACCATACAAACTACTTTCCTTACTCTTCCTTTTCATCCCCTTGAAGAATGAACTAGGGGATGAAACAAGCCTATGTTCTTCACCATGACTCAATCTATCTCATACCAAATTTTAGACAGAGAGACACTTTCGCATTTACAGAATTAGCATGGACTATGGTATGTAGGGCTTGTCTTTGAATATTTGTAACCCTATTATGTTGCAAGTAAACCTGACCTAGTGGTGTGTTGACATAAATAGCTGATGACGTGGAGGAGGGCGCGCGTGGGAGCTGCAGCCCACTCGACACTCGAGGAGCTCGCCGCTGCCGGCCTCCGGCCTCGCGCCTCGCGCCTCGCCTTCACGTCGCCGCCTCCCGCGCCTGTGTCCGCCCGACCCCGCCCCGCATCTTCTCACTTACTCGTTTGCACTCTCACTATCCATAATCATTTAGAATCAAGTATGATAAGTTTATACTAAATCGTGCACATGCACTGTTCTGTCAAGCGAACTTAAGGTGATATCCTCTTTCCTAGCGGATGTAATTTATCCCATCCAGCAGATGTTAAGTATTATAGTGGAGTTGGATTAAGAAAATAGTTGTTGTGGAGGAGGGAAATACGTGCCTACAGCTGATATCGACATGAACCGAACCCTTTCCCCTTGAATATTCAGCATCATTACTCACTCCTTGCAGGGATATAACACTGCAAAATTGTTTTAGTATACCTACTCTTTCTTTAACTGACATTATTTAAAAACTCTCTAAAATTGCCAGCAAAAAAATAGAAACGCATAAAAAGCCTTCGCTTTACGGGTTAATTCAATAACCACTTTATTCACTGTTTTTTCTGTTAACCAAAGTTTGAATTTTCCTTTAGACTACAGAATAGCGTTTTTTCGTTAGTCTTCTGAAAAGGTATAGGATAGTAATAGATAGTAGGCAAGCGGTTTCTTCGTATGGCGCACGAGATTTTGAATTAAACAACAAACAAGTGGGGTTAGCACGAGTATGTCACGCGGTAATTAGAATACGGCGTGGTATCCCGGCAAGTGATGTCTTCCTGTCAATTAACATAGGCGCACTGTCTGCGGAGCGCGACTTCTCGGCCCGTGCCTACCTCCAGTGAACTTTAAACTATGTACAGAATACTATAACATGTTATTACCGCATCACCCAATTATAAACTGTTTTATATGTAAATGAATGTAACTCACAACAATTTTTTTCTTACTGCATCAACAATAAATTATGTGAAATCAGAAAAGATCAACTTTACACAGTATTTTAGCCTGGGTTGCATGAATTTATATGGTCTGTATTCGCCCCAATCTTGCTTGACTCAATATAGATTTCAAGTGAGACATCGCTAAACACATCATTGAGCGGCATCCCACTTGAAGAAAGTGGAGCGAGAAATATTAAAACAACTGTTAAGTGATTGTGGACCTTAGCAGCATCCATTTGAGATGACAAAATTCACCACATTATCTACGCCGGAATTAACAAGTTGTATACTTTCGAGTGAGCCTCTTTTAAAGAAGCCTAGATTAGAGAAAAATATTGATTGTAACATCAATACTAATTTAAAAGAGGCGGTAAATTACGTTATTTTGATACAAATGATTGGGAACGAGTTCGATATTTATGATATGATACGGAGAGAAAGTACCAGAGAGATAAGACCAGGCTTTCAAGACATGGATGTTAATACTGAATTAAGATTTTATGACCCTAAGTCTTTGTTGACTTTTGAGATCTTTTGACCGTTCTTATGGTGCTTTAACACATGCAGTTATACAACAAATAAATGCAAATATTGGTGGAATGGTCTCACAAACCAGACACCATTTTGTCGTCAGATTCATTATTTGCTAAGCTTAGTGAACTTTTTTCCGAAAAATCTCAGTATATTACAGTGTCCGAGGACACTCTTCAGCTGGTTTGCGGAAGACGAGCTGACACTATACAAAAAAGGCGCGACAGTATATTAACAAGTGTAAAAGACCGGTACATTAAAGATAATGTGCGGAAAATCCCGCCTACCCGCACGGCTTTGTTTAATCCAGAATCGATGAGCAATTTCTTATCAAAAGCGGGTGGAGCCAACAAGATATTTTACAATAATAAGCGCTCGGCAGATAAGTCAATTGTCTTTTCAAAGTAAGAATAACGTTCGTGATCGTGACTATGATGATAATGACACTACTGGTCCAGGTCCGTCATCAAGTAAACATTATGCTTATAATAATAATAGAAACAAGAAGGTTTCATTTAATAGTAACAAACTTGTTATTCGAGACCTATGTTTTAAATACTGCCTAATGACTAATTCATCTGAACTCCAGTAAGATGCAATGTGACGAGTCAAATCATAGCTGTCTGTAACAAGCAATACCCCCTACACCTCACTTGTGCCGCCGGAAGTGACATGGCGGGGTTGGCAGGAGGCTGTTCAAGTGAAGAGGAAGAGATGCTGTCTCACTCTATAGGTCTCGAATAAGGATACTGCATATAATAACTGTTTTATTTTCAGTTCAACATTCTATTTTTTAGTTTAAGTTTTGTGAAATAATTTTCCATTTCTCATGATGAAACCCAACATTTACTCTTAATTATGTGATTCATGTGTAGACCGAATGTGAGCTTACTGTCATATATAACACCTAGATCTTTGATATGGTGGACTTCCTGAATTAACAGGCCTGACACCGTGTAAGAGGATGGAACACATTTGCGCTTGCGAGAAAATCTCATGTAAAACCATTTCTGGTTATTGAGACTCATGTTATTGGTGATGCACCATTCCGAAAGTCTATCAATATCAGCTTGTAGCAACAGAGTATCATTGTGAGATTCAATCGGTCTTGCAATTTTTAGATCATCAGCATATACGAATGCAAGAGTACTGGAAGCATTCTGAAATGTCATTAAAGAAGAAATTAAATAAGATGGGCCCAATATTAGAGCCCTGAGGCACGCCAGATGTTATTACGTGTTCAATCAAACTCGCCCCATTAATAACAACATAAAAGGATCTTGCGTCTAGGTATGACTTAAACCAATTTAAAGGTGGTCCCGCTATGCCATATAATGAAAGTTTATGGACTAAGATGCTATGTGTGACTCGGTCAAATGCCCTACTTAAGTCTGCGTATATCACATCTATTTGCTTACGAGAGTCTATTGATTCGGCTAACAATTCCGACCGAGCCGTTACAAAATCATGCTGATTTTGTGATATTAAATGTTTCATATGTTTTGTAAAATTGGATACAGAAGGGACTCAAAAAATTTCGACAAAGCAGTCAAAAATTATAGACCTATATCTATATAGGTTTATAATTTTTGACTAAGGTTTTGTCGCCATGGTTATGTATGAGAACTACATTTGCTTTCTTCCACACATCAGGAAACGTACCCGTTTTTAAGGATCTATCAAATATTTGACTTCATGGATCCACCGAATTAAATACACTTATGAAAAATGGCGTCCGGACCTGGTCCTTTGTTTTTATCTATCTTTTTCAACTTTGACTCTATTTCATGCCTGTCAAGTGCAATGACTGAAAGATATTCACAAGAGAGGTAGAAGTCTGGTTTATATCGTTCCCCTTGATGCCCACAGTATACGGATGAAAAATAAGTTGCATACATGTCACAAATTTTAGTATCGTCACTCGATATATTTATTTCGTCAGACATTGTGGTCGGATAAATACTTTGCCCATCTTTTTTATGTTTAAAATATAACCAAAAATATTTTGGGTTATTTGCTATAGCATTTTCGACAGACACGATATATGAATTGTAGGAAGCTAAAGATTCCTTGTCAAATCTTTTGCTCAAAAGTTTGTAAGTAATTTCGTCTAATGGGTTTTTATATGACTTAAATCGAGATCGCACTTTTTCTTTTTCTTTCAATAGCTTGATGAGATCTATACTAAACCAAATAGGGTATCTTTTTCTTTTCAATTTTATCTTAGGTACAGATTTTGAAATCGCCTCCCGTAAAATTGTGTAAAATGTATGCACCATCTCATTGTCATTTTTGCAGCCAATGAATAATTTTGACCAATCCTGTCCACTAAGGTAACTGTTAATCTTAGTGTAGTTAGCCTTACGAAAATTAGATCGTGCGGCATTAGATGCTTCTGTAGTCTTTTTCTTAAAATTGAATTCAAGAGAAATATTTAAGGGCAAGGATCTACTTGAACAAAAGGCACTGCAACCTCAGAGACGTGACATGGAAGACCATTGGACAAAACGAGATCAAGGGTTTTACACTGATGATTATATACAAAATTATACTGTTTGATATCAGCTACATTTGCAAAATCTATTAATATTTCCTCCGTTTTTGAAACATTACTACTAATCAGAATAGGGGTCGAAAGTGAGCATGAAACTGTAAGAAACATAGTCAACTTTGAAGATAAAATGTTAATATTAGTAGTAAAAAATTGATTTAGGTATTTCTTAAAATCTATCGTTCATATTATTGTCATCAGATTTAGAGAACAAGGTCAAGGTGCATTATTTGCCTGTTGATCTGTTTTTTTGGTATCGATTGCAGGACGAGACGATCCTGTCGTGGTACAGCGGCGAGGCGGGCGGCGCGGCGGGCTCGGAGCGCGTGGCCGACCGGTGGGGCGGGCGCTTGATGCGGCTGGCGGACGGGCGGCTGGGGCTCGGCCGCGGCTCCGTCAACGTGACGGCCGTGCGCGAGACCGACGCCGGCTTGTACCGCTGCCGCGTGTCCTTCCCCAACCGCACGCCGCCCGCGCGCAACAACGGCACCTTCTACTACCTCGACGTAGACGGTGCGTGATACGTGACACGTTCATATTTAATGCCAGCTCTCCAGCAAAAGTTTTTGGAAAACATTCAATAAAAACACATACACAACACTTTGATTCTGAAACATGTTTCTCTACAAATGCCGTCTAACAGTGGCGGCGCTAGACCACATGTGGACGTCGGCGACATCAAGTTCGCGAAGCCTATTTTACTTCGCAGTAAAAAACCATTAAATTAAGTGAGCCAAATTATAAAATAACTTATGAATAAACGAGTTTTATTCTTGATAATCAAATGATGACAAAAAATAATTACAAACATAGAAATTTAATTACAAAAATAGTGTTGCCAAACAGACGATTCTGAATACCCATAGAGTACTACTCGCTTCCATCACGCACGTGTTCGAAAATAATAAAAGTCATTGTCATCTGCTTAGCTTTTTCCCCGAATTGTTCGGGGTCGGCTACCTAAGCCAGGCCAGAAGAAACGAAAATAAATAGATAACTTGTAAAAAATTTTTGCGAGGCCCCCTCAGGCGCGAGGCCGTCGGCGGTGGCCGACGTCGCCGACGCCTAGCGCTGCCACTGCCGTCTAATGCTCACGCGACTGTTGTACACAAAATACACAGAGCTGCATTCCATACCTACAATCCAGGTGTAGCAAATGTCAAATTTGACAAAAGTTTTATATATTTTATGTCAAAATTCACGACCGAGAAACAATGCACTCGGAGCGTAGGTTTGGAACGCAGCTCCCTCTAGCGTTTATTTAAAAAAATGCCCGATGAAACAATAGCCAGCCCCTCGACCCGCGACCGACCAATTACAAACAGTACTCAATTAGTGTTTGATTATATTAGGATATATGAAAGATAAGATAATGCAGGCCGGGTTCTTGTTACTTGATGTACTTCAACTATAGGTATAGCTAAATAAAAACTTTTTTAACAAAAATAAAAACCGACTTCATAAGAAAAGAAGAACGAGCTCGATGACGCAGGTGGTTAGCATGTTCGGCTGCGATCGTCGAAGTTAAACAACTTTCGCAGTGGTCGGTCATTGAATGGGAGACCAAAATCCTTTATCTCGAGTTCCTCCTTGCTGCTTCGGAAGGAACGTGAATTGGCCATTGGCCCCGGCTGCATCTGGCCGTCATGGCCCAATCTTATTTAATCCATCAATAGGGAAGGTCTATACCCCATCAGTGTGGACATTAAAAGACTGATGATGATTAAATAAAAACCAAACCACTAATAAGCTTAGATTAAGTCAAAAGGGGAAGATACAGCACTCGCTGCTCAAAAGTGTACCGCTTAAATCGTGGTGCATGAACACAATTCGCTTTAGTCACAATTTAACATCCATTGAATATCAGGGGCAGAGACAGTGTAACAAAAGGAATATCTCTGTATTATACCCGGCCACTTGACGACTAATGGCAGTTGCTTAAAATGGCGGCTTAAGAAACTAATAAAACCACGTCAAGACAGATCATAGAAAAATAAGAAAAGGTCAGAGATATTCTTTGTTAAGTCCCTTGTTACACTGTCCCTCACATACCTCATCTATGATTATATGACATAGGTGGCAACCTGATAGTGACGCCGCCCATGAACGTGACGGTGCTGGAAGGCGATCGCGCGGAGCTGGAGTGCTTGCCGAAGCACGCTGAGGCGACGGTGCAGTGGTTCCGTGACGAGCTGCCCCTCGAGAGCTTGCCTGAGCTGGCCGCGCGCGCCGAGCTGCCGCGCAACGGCAGCCTCGTGCTGCGCGCCGCGCACAGCGCTGACCCCGGAGAGTTCCAGTGCCGCGTGCAGGACCCCGACGGCACCACGCAGTCGGCCAGCGCCTTCCTGGATGTTCAATGTAAAACACAATATATTTTTCCGTTTGAATTTAAAAACATAAAAGTACCACTATCGTTATAAAAAAACATTTAACAGCTTTGAACTCAAAGACAACGATACGAACGATAAAGCTGGGTAGCAAATAACTCTACCCCACCTGATATTAAGTGGTGGTAAAGTCCAGACGTGAAGATAACTGTTACAGCAGTTACAAATTGCCACACCAACCATCCTCGCCATGCCGGCCTGCAGTAATGCTTCTTCACACCTCTCTTAAATGACCCCAGATTGTAGGAAGAATACACGTGAGCGGGCAAAGAATTCCACTTATTGCGACGAAGAAATTAATGAGTCACCAAGTTTATTTGTTCCTGTAGGAATAGTAAGTTATGCGTGGGACACTCAGAAAGTTTTGAGAAACTAAAAAACATACTTCTATGAAATTTTTTTTTATTAAATATTTTCAAAGAACTCTCCACCAGCCTCTATACAAAGTTTCATGCGTCTGAACCAATTTTCAAAACATTTTTCCAGCCCTCCGCAGACACCTCTTCCACGGCCTTCTCAAACGCTGCTAGTGCTTCTTCCGGCGATGAAAACTGTATCCCTTTGAGCTGATTTTTTATTTTAGGGAATAAAAAGATGTCACACGGAGCCAAATCAGGACTGTAAGGAGGGTGTCCCAAGACTCTGACTGGTGTGGAATCCAGGAAGTCCTTCGTTTTGATCGCAGAGTGCGCGAGCGCGTTGTCGTGGTGGAGAAGGATCCCGCGGAGCACGATGTTTGGTCGCTTGTTGCTCATTGCAGAAAAAACTTCTGGCTGGCATTTTGTGCTATACCATTCGGCGTTGAATCTGCTTTGGTCTCGAAGTGGAATTGAAATTAGGTACCCTGTCAAAGTGAAGAAACTAGCGATCTAAATTTTCCCTGCGCTCATCGAACGCTTCACTTTCGTAGGCTTTGGTTTATTTTGAAACAGCCGAACTGTCGACTGACGCTTTGTTTCCGTATCGTATTGATAAATCCAGGATTCGTAACCTGTCACAATATCGGTGACAGCCGTCGTAGGACGACGATTCCTTTGTTCATCCCCCAAAGTTAGACGACCTCGTTTGCAGTACAAAATTGATCAAATGACTGATCAGGTTTTAAGGCGCATTTAGAATCGTAGCACGAAAATGTTCTCGATGCAGATCCATTATTTAAAGAGACAAGAAAAATTTAATCGGCTCTCGAAATATGCGGACGGAAATTTGAAAATCGAACAGTGGTATTTTTACTTTTAAATAATCGAAGTTTCCAAAATAATTACAAGTGGCCAGTGAGTTATACATAAAAACTCTTTTTCGCAAAACTTTTTGAGTGCCCTCGTATAAACATAAATAGATACAATAACGGCATGCATATTTTATTTGTTCGTGTATTGGAAATTGGAAGATACTTGTTTGTAGATAAGGCGAAAGTGGTGTATTCGCCGGCGGAGCGCTACCTGCCGTACGGCAAGCCGGCGAGCTTGGACTGCCATTTCAGCGCTAACCCGCCGCTCACCAATCTGCGCTGGGAGAAGGACGGCTTCCTCTTTGACCCGTACAACGTGCCCGGCGTCTTCTACAGCAGGAACGGCAGTCTGCTATTCAATCAGGTTCACTACTACGTGTTATTTAGTACCCAGAGTCAAATGTCTAAAGTTTCTACTGAAAGAAAATTCCAATAGCTCTTCCTATTAGAAAAGTGTTTAGCATTATCTTTAATTAACATGAAGGTTTTTGTAATGGTTAATACTCGTAGGACTGTAAGGAGGAATGCATTAGGCGTGGCTGTTTCTTAAACTGTTGTGGGAAATGATGAATCAAAAATTTTAAGTAGGTAAGTAACTTCCGCAAAAGCCGGGCGCTAGAAGGGACCCCAATTATCAATTATCTTGACTTCCTTCCTGTATCGCAAGGTACGTTAATCTGTTTTCCTTTTGTGATGCTATAGCCTAGATTAAAACAAAAAGGGTAGATACGGTACGCTCATACTTGTATCAAACAAAAACTTATCCCACGGCAGCGCGAACGGGACGGCGAGATCCGCGTCACTGCATTACCGACCAATCACGCGACCAGTACTCGACGTCACTACCACGGTAATATTATCTATACAGTATTGTGACTCCGCCCTGTCCTTGAAAATAAATGCCTACACCGAACGCTGAGTTGGCACGCGGTAGGGCCGCCAGCCTACAGTATTTTATGTAGTTTTGTTTTTAACGCGAGTGTAGGTAGATTACTCGTTTGTCTCTTTTTTCATCCTAATCACTTATTTATATATTATTCCAGATATTTTGCCCGATGGAAAAACCGAAATACCTAAATATTAGAAACAAATAACGTACTAGTAGATAGGTATATAAAAAATATTCTATAAAGGTAAGACACCTTTCCAATATTTCAGGTAATTTAAAAAATGATATCTCTGGGTGTGTTATTGAAGAGTTCAAGCAACCAAATACAGCAATTGTGCTGTAGTACGATATTGATCGTCGTTTGTTCTTTTCCATACTAAATTATGTAGGTATCTACTTAATTAAATCAAATATTTACAATATAAAACGCATGTTTAAGCACGGCTAACTGCATAAAAAACAATTCAGACCGTTCGATCGTCGTTGCGGCGCGGCGCATTCGCGACTGGGTGCACGCCGAGAGCACATCGAACTCGAGTGGCGTAGGTATGACTCGCTTTCCGACCGTTTGTATGAAGATAGAATACTGTATGATATTATTACCGTGTCACTACCGAATAAGATTCAAAACAAATAGCAATTTTTATGAAAAAATATATTTTATAGTCCTTACGAATGAAAAGTGATGCCGTGGGTTTTATTTTTAGTTCTTAAGCAATTTGAGCACCTTTTTAAAAACACACTTAGGCATTGTTTTATCATATAAACACAAAATATTAGCAATATTTCTTTTTGGCGTTCACATGTATACGTCATTTGTGTGTCAAGTTGTGACTTAAGCGATTAGGGTCGTGGACCACAATTTATGCGGATCACTTTTGTGAGGCTAGTGCCGTATCTACCCTTTTTGTTTTAATCTAAGTGCTATAGTGAAGGAAGAGATCGCAACAGAGGGGGTCAAATAATTGGATCATGTTTGTAATTGAGGTGGACGAGTCGCACGAGGGCGAGTACTCGTGCACGCCGTACAACGCGCTGGGCAGCGCGGGCGCGTCGGCGGGCGTGCGCGTGCGCGTGGCGCGGCCCCCGGCGCTGGCGGCGCGCCCGCACCCACTCTACGTGGCGCGCCTGGGGGACCGCCTCACGCTGCCCTGCGCCATCGCTGCGGACCCTCAGCTGCCGCAGCCAGACCTCAGGTGGACTAGGGTAAACGACCGACCTTCATTAAGCATCTGCTTTTAAATACATGCTCTTAATCCGACGAGATCCTTCGTTTCACACGCAAAAAACCAAAAAGCGACCGAGACCGCCCAGATGAGGCGAGACGTGAGCACTGTGTTCGCGCACTCGGGGTGGCACGACGACTGTAAACCTGTCCTACGACCTTTTAGTACCGTTGTTCATTATATATTTTATCAATACATACAGACTTACGTGTACCATTCTGACGTTCACGACATTATGGACACTTTAGTCTTCAAAAAAGTTTATCTTAGTCTTTAACTGACGAAATCTGTCTGCAACGCTCCCCTCTCTTTGAATCCTTAGACCATCTCGCAGCTTAACAGCAACTAAAAACTGAATATGTAATAAGTAATCGATTTATCTCGTCAAACCTGTGTGCAGAAAGACGGCAGCGAGTTGGCAGCGGACCGGCACTCGATCCAGGACGGCAACCTGACCATCGACGGCGTGTCGGAGGAGGACCGCGGCGTGTACGTGTGCACGGTGACCAACGACGCGGCGTCCGTGGCCGCCGAGGCCGAGCTCATGGTGGAGAACCTGCCGCCGCGCGCGCCGCACAACCTCACCGCGCGCCTCCACACCCACTCCGTGCAGCTGGCCTGGGTGCCAGGTCTGTGCCCGACGTATCACTTACATCAACGACGCGGCGTCCGTGGCCGCCGAGGCCGAGCTCATGGTGGAGAACCTGCCTCCGCGCGCGCCGCACAACCTCACCGCGCGCGTCCACACCCACTCCGTGCAGCTGGCCTGGGTGCCAGGTCTGTGCCCGACGTATCACTTACATCAACGACGCGGCGTCCGTGGCCGCCGAGGCCGAGCTCATGGTGGAGAACCTGCCTCCGCGCTTGCCGCACAACCTCACCGCGCGCGTCCACATCCACTCCGTGCAGCTGGCCTGGGTGCCAGGTCTGTGCCCGACGTATCATTTACATCAACGACGCGGCGTCCGTGGCCGCCGAGGCCGAGCTCATGGTGGAGAACCTGCCGCCGCGCGCGCCGCACAACCTCACCGCGCGCCTCCACACCCACTCCGTGCAGCTGGCTTGGGTGCCAGGTCTGTGCCCGACGTATCACTTACATCAACGACGCGGCGTCCGTGGCCGCCGAGGCCGAGCTCATGGTGGAGAACCTGCCTCCGCGCGCGCCGCACAACCTCACCGCGCGCGTCCACATCCACTCCGTGCAGCTGGCCTGGGTGCCAGGTCTGTGCCCGACGTATCACTTACATCAACGACGCGGCGTCCGTGGCCGCCGAGGCCGAGCTCATGGTGGAGAACCTGCCGCCGCGCGCGCCGCACAACCTCACCGCGCGCCTCCACACCCACTCCGTGCAGCTGGCCTGGGAGCCAGGTCTGTGCCCGACGAATCACTTATAGGGCCCATATACGGAACGATTGATCTGTACGATCCGTCGTTTCAAACCGATCGAAACGATGGATCGACAGTGTATGTCAAGATCGTTAACGATTTACTTAATCGCAGACGATATCTGCGATCGCAACAAAAACCCATGCAATCATGAATATCGTAAACGATCGATCGTCAGTGTCCCATATACGGTACGATTGATCTGTACCAATAGTCTGTATTGATCTTAACGATTTCCTTCAGATCGATCGCAACGATGTTTCGTTCCGTATATGGCGCCCTTTACATCACATCATTTATTGTCAAGTGGAACAATATTCGTCTTCTTCTACTGGAGAGATGACTGATTTTGCTGTAGCTCGGAAACTTATAAAAATCAATCTTTATTATTATACTTTTACATCAAAGTTTACATGGTGTGGGTCTTCTTCTTTTTAGTTAATTTACCTGTAGAAGAGGAAGACCGCTCCCTATATTTCGTAACCGCAATACCCTGCATTTCGTTCTGTTAATCGTATCTGTCGGTCGCAGAGTCGCAGTGTGTAATGTTGATAGTTCCAATAGATAAGACTTTTTAATATTTGTTTACTTTCGAAATTGTTTACTTAATGTTTTAATTGTTATTATTTGTGTTTATGTCGATAAAACATAGTTCTAGGAATAGGAATAGCCAACTTTTATATAGATTAGATTAGACAACAATTAAGGCGTAAAGTTAGAAATAAATTCCTTTCGATAATAGGTTATTTATAGTTGTAAGTTTCGTTATAAAGGTTTTATCTTATGTGTTTTCACTTGCCCTATAGGATTAAATACATAAATTAGGTATAAAATAGGTTTAAGTAGGTTTTTAGCGACTGTTTAGTTTTAAGACTTTGAGAGGCTATATAAGCATTGTATAAGAAGAATCTTATTAGAAGGGGTCAATAAGACATAGAACTACGTAAATAGATAGGTTTTTAGGAAATAGGCCGAAAAATAGGATAAATCTATTTTGTATGGAGCGCGCTATGCGCGGAGTATTTGGAAACCTTCGGCGGTCATAAATAACAAAATGTAAATGTAAGCGATAGCGATAGCCATAGCAATCCTGTTAGGCGATGGACCCCGAGCTCATCGCGCGTATATAAAAGCCGGGCCGTAATCGATCCCGGCACGTCATTCAGCAAACAGCGCTCCTACCTAAAAGGAATAAGAAGAAATAACCAGCGGTTCTCTCTGGAAGACTCCTCATCGGCCATCCATTACAAGCGCCCACCGACTTTCTTCGATACCGGATCTTGGGAGTGTTACTTCGTTCGCTATAATAATAACTTTATTACTTATAAAAACTGTGTACAATTTTGCAGTTGGAATTGCAATAATAACAAAGTCACAACAGTGTGCCCACAATCAGGCGCGGTCCGAAGGGGGGGGGGGGGGGGGGTCACAGGGGAAATGACCCCCCCCCCCAAATCTAAGGTCAAATTGAAAAATCTTGTGTCAAAAAGTGGCTTGTGGAATTATATTCCAGATACCTATTTTTATTAGTGTAGTGAGTGACCCCTCCGACTGCGAAATTTCAGACTGCGACCGCACCTGCCCACAACGGGCATGCAATGGTAAAATTTATAACTTAAAACTATCTTAATTTAAAAAGTACATTTTAGAGTCTAAATTATATTAAGTTTTACAAGTATAATATTCATCAAGATTATAGAAAACATTATTTAATAAACCAGCTTTTTAACTTAAATTTAAACAGTGGCAAATTGTGTGCTTTAATTTCTGCAGGCAAATGATTGAAGATTGTTATGCTAGTACTGAACGCGCTATTATAATACAAGTGATTATTTATCCTAGGTATGCATATTTATTTTAAAGATAAATAACAACTTCGCAATAGTAACATTAACAATTTCACATCATAAAACTATAAAATATACTAACTATAAACAAATAAGTCTCTATCTAATTACATAATTACTATATATAAGTAAAATATAAATACTAGAACAATAAAACTAAAAACCTTAAAACATAAAATTAATAACTAAAATATATTATTAAAAGGAGTCCCTTTAGGCAAGGAACCGAAGATACTGGCAGCGTTACCTTTTTGAATGGCTAGACTAATTCTTTGTCCGAGGTAGCTGCCAGCTCTTCGGTCTCCTGTGACGTCGACTAACCTTTTTGCTATTTCCTTAAATAGCCTTAAAGCGCTAGGACCCCACGGACCAAGGGTCTCGACACCGAATGGGACAAAACCATATTCGGAGCCTAGACCCCTGTATTTGCTTGCTTTTGATTTTTCAGCCGCTTCACAAGCCGCACCAACTCTGTTGTTGGTTCCATGTAGATGGGAAGGGGCCAGCGTGTCTGAACAGGTTGCATCCCATACCAGCACCCGACCCATCTTCCATGGAATCAAACTCATACCGTCTGGTCTCTTGCCATCGTCTCTTGAAATACCAGACGGCTCAAGTAGACTTGGCACGTTGACAGTGGCAAGGGACCGGCGTATGATATCATTAAGTGCGGCATGTCTCGAGAAGCGACCTGCACTTTTTTGGCATGACAGTCCGTGATGTCCTAGCTTGTCCTTGCATATATTATATTTATATTGCTAGCTACAGTCCACAACCGTCGTCAGGACTCCTACGTGTTCACCCTCCAGCCCCAAGTGCTAGTCGGCGTGCAGCACAATCTCTGGGTTTCAGTTTTGGGATGAATTTACGAAGATGTCTTCTAATTCGTATAATCACAATAACTTTTTATTAATATTCCTGTTAACTCCTCAATATTTAATTCAATACCCCCTCAGATACTGGGTAACTTGGAAAATGCTCTTATTTCATCAGTTGCGATTATGGGTTTGATTGGAGCATACCTGTCCATCGGTTCACCATCCTATCGTGGGATAAGAGTTGGAGGGTGTACTTAGTGGATTTTTGATATTGCAAGCGTCTATAGTTCATGGGGCCCCTTACTATTTGCCGGGTCATAAGCTTGTTTGGTCTTTTAAATTAAAAAAAAAATCGGTGGTCGTCCTGATCGTCGAGTATTATCGACGACCTCCGTTGCCGAGTGGTTTGTACGCCGGGTTTCATGGCGTCGCCGACTCGAGAGGTCCCGGGTTTGAATCCCGGTGGGGGCAGATATTTGTGTGATGAACACGAGCATTTGTACTCCAGTCATGGATGTTTAAATATGTATTTCTATATAAATATACTTATATATGTAAAGTATATTTATTCTATCCATTTACCCTAGCATTCCATAACACAAGCCTTACAGTGCTTACTTTGGGGCTAACTGGTGTGTAAAAAAAAAGAAAAAAATGGGTGGTCGTTCTGATCGTCGGGTATTATGCGCAGGTCACAACGGAGTAGAGGTGGAGTACCAGGTGTGGTACCGCGAGCGCGGCGCGGGCCAGTGGCGCACGCTGGGAGCGCGCGGGGCCGCCCCCTCCCCCTCCCCCGTCCCCTCCCCCGCCCCCCTCAGCGTCACCGTGCCCGGCCTGCGCCCCGCCACCGCCTACGAGCTGCGCGTGCTGGCGCAGGACCACATCGGCGACGGACTCTTCAGCAAACCCATATTCATCACCACATTGGGTAGGGTTAAAAACGACACTGAATATATTTAAGCGTATCATAATTTAGATTCGTTTGTCATTATGACGTGTAGATTATGTGGAATCGTCTAATATTTAAGTCGAAATCTATTCTATATTTAAACTGTATGGAGAAATAAACAATAGCTTAATAAAAGAAAAAACAACAATTAAAAAAATTACCGATTTCAAGATCGAACCACCGATCATTTGGTGTCGACCCCAAGACCGTTACCGTTCGCCTCTGTCTCTTGTAGAGAGTTCCAAAATTACGGATACCTTGTGTTAAATACGGTCGATTTTTCGCGTCATTGAGTTTTCAAATCACAACGGTGCTAAAGAAGTTTGCACTTCAAAAACGTTGACTAATTTTAGATTCAACTGAGACTGAAGAGAACGGAACGACCGTGTACGCGGCGGTGACGGAGGCGTCGGCCATGAGCGAGGAGCTGGAGGTGTCGGTGCGGCTGCTGGACGACGGCGCGCTCGTGCGCTGGCGCCGCGAGCCCGGCGACGACGCGCACTGCTTCGTGCGCTGGTACCGCGGCCCGCCACCTGGCGACCACCTGCTGCTGACCGCGCACACCACGCAGGACTACATGCTCGGTCAGTGCCCCCCCCCCCCCCCCCCATCACTGTATACGCGCCGCGAGCCCGGCGACGACCTGCTGCTGACCGCGCACACCACGCAGGACTACATGCTCGGTCAGTGCCCCCCCCCCCCCCATCACTGTATACGCGCCGCGAGCCCGACGACGACGCGCACTGCTTCATGCGCTGGTACCGCGGCCCGCGACCTGGCGACCACCTGCTGCTGACCGCGCACACCACGCAGGACTACATGCTCGGTCAGTGCCCCCCCCCCCCCCCCCATCACTGTATACGCGCCGCGAGCCCGACGACGACGACGCGCACTGCTTCGTGCGCTGGTACCGCGGCCCGCGACCTGGCGACCACCTGCTGCTGACCGCGCACACCACGCAGGACTACATGCTCGGTCAGTGCCCCCCCCCCCCCCCCCCATCACTGTATACGCGCCGCGAGCCCGACGACGACGCGCACTGCTTCGTGCGCTGGTACCGCGGCCCGCCACCTGGCGACCACCTGCTGCTGACCGCGCACACCACGCAGGACTACATGCTCGGTCAGTGCCCCCCCCCCCCCCCCCCATCACTGTATACGCGCCGCGAGCCCGGCGACGACGCGCACTGCTTCGTGCGCTGGTACCGCGGCCCGCCACCTGGCGACCACCTGCTGCTGACCGCGCACACCACGCAGGACTACATGCTCGGTCAGTGCCCCCCCCCCCCCCCCCCCCATCACTGTATACGCGCCGCGAGCCCGGCGACGACCTGCTGCTGACCGCGCACACCACGCAGGACTACATGCTCGGTCAGTGCCCCCCCCCCCCCATCACTGTATACGCGCCGCGAGCCCGACGACGACGCGCACTGCTTCATGCGCTGGTACCGCGGCCCGCGACCTGGCGACCACCTGCTGCTGACCGCGCACACCACGCAGGACTACATGCTCGGTCAGTGCCCCCCCCCCCCCCATCACTGTATACGCGCCGCGAGCCCGACGACGACGCGCACTGCTTCATGCGCTGGTACCGCGGCCCGCGACCTGGCGACCACCTGCTGCTGACCGCGCACACCACGCAGGACTACATGCTCGGTCAGTGCCCCCCCCCCCCCCCCCCCATCACTGTATACGCGCCGCGAGCCCGACGACGACGACGCGCACTGCTTCGTGCGCTGGTACCGCGGCCCGCGACCTGGCGACCACCTGCTGCTGACCGCGCACACCACGCAGGACTACATGCTCGGTCAGTGCCCCCCCCCCCCCCCCCCCATCACTGTATACGCGCCGCGAGCCCGACGACGACGCGCACTGCTTCGTGCGCTGGTACCGCGGCCCGCCACCTGGCGACCACCTGCTGCTGACCGCGCACACCACGCAGGACTACATGCTCGGTCAGTGCCCCCCCCCCCCCCCCATCACTGTATACGCGCCGCGAGCCCGGCGACGACGCGCACTGCTTCGTGCGCTGGTACCGCGGCCCGCCACCTGGCGACCACCTGCTGCTGACCGCGCACACCACGCAGGACTACATGCTCGGTCAGTGCCCCCCCCCCCCCCCCCCCCCCATCACTGTATACGCGCCGCGAGCCCGGCGACGACCTGCTGCTGACCGCGCACACCACGCAGGACTACATGCTCGGTCAGTGCCCCCCCCCCCCCATCACTGTATACGCGCCGCGAGCCCGACGACGACGCGCACTGCTTCATGCGCTGGTACCGCGGCCCGCGACCTGGCGACCACCTGCTGCTGACCGCGCACACCACGCAGGACTACATGCTCGGTCAGTGCCCCCCCCCCCCCCCCCCCCATCACTGTATACGCGCCGCGAGCCCGACGACGACGACGCGCACTGCTTCGTGCGCTGGTACCGCGGCCCGCGACCTGGCGACCACCTGCTGCTGACCGCGCACACCACGCAGGACTACATGCTCGGTCAGTGCCCCCCCCCCCCCCCCCCATCACTGTATACGCGCCGCGAGCCCGACGACGACGCGCACTGCTTCGTGCGCTGGTACCGCGGCCCGCCACCTGGCGACCACCTGCTGCTGACCGCGCACACCACGCAGGACTACATGCTCGGTCAGTGCCCCCCCCCCCCCCCCATCACTGTATACGCGCCGCGAGCCCGGCGACGACGCGCACTGCTTCGTGCGCTGGTACCGCGGCCCGCCACCTGGCGACCACCTGCTGCTGACCGCGCACACCACGCAGGACTACATGCTCGGTCAGTGCCCCCCCCCCCCCCCCCCCCATCACTGTATACGCGCCGCGAGCCCGGCGACGACCTGCTGCTGACCGCGCACACCACGCAGGACTACATGCTCGGTCAGTGCCCCCCCCCCCCCATCACTGTATACGCGCCGCGAGCCCGACGACGACGCGCACTGCTTCATGCGCTGGTACCGCGGCCCGCGACCTGGCGACCACCTGCTGCTGACCGCGCACACCACGCAGGACTACATGCTCGGTCAGTGCCCCCCCCCCCCCCCCATCACTGTATACGCGCCGCGAGCCCGACGACGACGACGCGCACTGCTTCGTGCGCTGGTACCGCGGCCCGCGACCTGGCGACCACCTGCTGCTGACCGCGCACACCACGCAGGACTACATGCTCGGTCAGTGCCCCCCCCCCCCCCCATCACTGTATACGCGCCGCGAGCCCGACGACGACGCGCACTGCTTCGTGCGCTGGTACCGCGGCCCGCCACCTGGCGACCACCTGCTGCTGACCGCGCACACCACGCAGGACTACATGCTCGGTCAGTGCCCCCCCCCCCCCCCCCCCATCACTGTATACGCGCCGCGAGCCCGGCGACGACCTGCTGCTGACCGCGCACACCACGCAGGACTACATGCTCGGTCAGTGCCCCCCCCCCCCCCCCATCACTGTATACGCGCCGCGAGCCCGACGACGACGCGCACTGCTTCGTGCGCTGGTACCGCGGCCCGCGACCTGGCGACCACCTGCTGCTGACCGCGCACACCACGCAGGACTACATGCTCGGTCAGTGCCCCCCCCCCCCCCCCCCCCATCACTGTATACGCGCCGCGAGCCCGACGACGACGACGCGCACTGCTTCGTGCGCTGGTACCGCGGCCCGCGACCTGGCGACCACCTGCTGCTGACCGCGCACACCACGCAGGACTACATGCTCGGTCAGTGCCCCCCCCCCCCCCCCCCCATCACGGTATACGCGCCGCGAGCCCGGCGACGACCTGCTGCTGACCGCGCACACCACGCAGGACTACATGCTCGGTCAGTGCCCCCCCCCCCCCCATCACTGTATACGCGCCGCGAGCCCGACGACGACGCGCACTGCTTCGTGCGCTGGTACCGCGGCCCGCCACCTGGCGACCACCTGCTGCTGACCGCGCACACCACGCAGGACTACATGCTCGGTCAGTGCCCCCCCCCCCCCCCCCATCACTGTATACGCGCCGCGAGCCCGGCGACGACCTGCTGCTGACCGCGCACACCACGCAGGACTACATGCTCGGTCAGTGCCCCCCCCCCCCCATCACTGTATACGCGCCGCGAGCCCGACGACGACGCGCACTGCTTCGTGCGCTGGTACCGCGGCCCGCCACCTGGCGACCACCTGCTGCTGACCGCGCACACCACGCAGGACTACATGCTCGGTCAGTGCCCCCCCCCCCCCCCCCATCACTGTATACGCGCCGCGAGCCCGGCGACGACCTGCTGCTGACCGCGCACACCACGCAGGACTACATGCTCGGTCAGTGCCCCCCCCCCCCCCCATCACTGTATACGCGCCGCGAGCCCGACGACGACGCGCACTGCTTCGTGCGCTGGTACCGCGGCCCGCCACCTGGCGACCACCTGCTGCTGACCGCGCACACCACGCAGGACTACATGCTCGGTCAGTGCCCCCCCCCCCCCCCCCCCCCCCATCACTGTATACGCGCCGCGAGCCCGACGACGACGACGCGCACTGCTTCGTGCGCTGGTACCGCGGCCCGCGACCTGGCGACCACCTGCTGCTGACCGCGCACACCACGCAGGACTACATGCTCGGTCAGTGCCCCCCCCCCCCCCCCCCATCACTGTATACGCGCCGCGAGCCCGGCGACGACCTGCTGCTGACCGCGCACACCACGCAGGACTACATGCTCGGTCAGTGCCCCCCCCCCCCCCCCCCATCACTGTATACGCGCCGCGAGCCCGGCGACGACCTGCTGCTGACCGCGCACACCACGCAGGACTACATGCTCGGTCAGTGCCCCCCCCCCCCCCCCCCCATCACTGTATACGCGCCGCGAGCCCGACGACGACGCGCACTGCTTCATGCGCTGGTACCGCGGCCCGCGACCTGGCGACCACCTGCTGCTGACCGCGCACACCACGCAGGACTACATGCTCGGTCAGTGCCCCCCCCCCCCCCCCCCCCCCATCACTGTATACGCGCCGCGAGCCCGACGACGACGACGCGCACTGCTTCGTGCGCTGGTACCGCGGCCCGCGACCTGGCGACCACCTGCTGCTGACCGCGCACACCACGCAGGACTACATGCTCGGTCAGTGCCCCCCCCCCCCCCCCCCATCACTGTATACGCGCCGCGAGCCCGGCGACGACCTGCTGCTGACCGCGCACACCACGCAGGACTACATGCTCGGTCAGTGCCCCCCCCCCCCCCCATCACTGTATACGCGCCGCGAGCCCGACGACGACGCGCACTGCTTCATGCGCTGGTACCGCGGCCCGCGACCTGGCGACCACCTGCTGCTGACCGCGCACATCACGCAGGACTACATGCTCGGTCAGTGCCCCCCCCCCCCCCCCCATCACTGTATACGCGCCGCGAGCCCGGCGACGACGCGTACTGCTTCGTGCGCTGGTACCCTCCTGCTGACCTCGCACACGACACACTACATTTGTTTCCTCCCAGGCGGGGAAGCGGGTGTGAAATCCTCATGGATACCCTACAGCCGGCTGTAGAGTTATGTCAGACTCTCACTGACCAAAACACACCCGCGGGGGATGCCTATGGCCTTAGGGGCCTTACAGGCTTCATCTGATGCGATCAACCCCTGAGATGATGATGCAGACCACACACTACTTAAACGACACGTTTAAATAGGTTTCGTTATCGCGTTGCAGTGGAGGACATCGAAGAGGGCGGTGAATACTGGGCGCGCGTGGAGTGCGGCGGCGGAGCCCTGGCAGGCGGGGCGGCGCTGCACGTGCCGGCGTACGGGCGCCTGCGCGCGGTGGCGGGTGGGTGCGCGGGGGCGGCGCTGCTGCTGGCCGCCGCACTCACCGCCGCCTACCTCGCGCGACGACATCTACGCCCTCACCCGCGCCCGCACGCGCCCCGAGACAAGCGCGCGCGCTGACCGCACCCGCTGCGACGGACCCTGCTATTGTGAAGCGGTACATCTGCCGGATCTACAGTACCAACCTTTGACACGCTTGCGGACGGTGGTCCCGAAAGTGCAAACTGACCTTTGTTATGTTTAAAGCCAGAAACATATTAACGTGTCGTGTCGTGTCGTGGCGCGCCAGAAGCACATTGGTTTCATGCATTTACTATGGTTGGAGACATATTTACGTATCGTGTCGTGTCGACGCTTCAACCTCTCTATCTCTCTCTAACCCATAATAAATGTATGGAACCGATGCGCCACGTCACGCCACGACACGTTACATATGCTTCTGGATTTAGTTTGGCGCATTACATCCGGCAGGTGTAGCGCTCCGGAGACTCGAGCGCGAATTTTTGATAGCTCCATATCGTATCGCATCATCAAAGTTTCTATTAAAACTGAGCATCCCCCCTCCCTTCCCCCCGATATCGGACATAAAAAACAAAGTAGCTTTTTCCAAACTAGATTTGAAAATGACGATACGTTAAGGAACTGTCGAAAATTCGTGCTCGGGCCTCAGGGAGATCCCATCATTAAAATAAAGACGGCCAAAGAATCCTTTGGAAAGAGAGGAACCGCCTTATTTCAAAATAATGTTCACTTTTTTAGTGCTCACCGCTGAGACAACATTAAAACAGGAAATTAATTTATTAAAGTACTAGGTACCGCTCACCGACAATATATCTCGGAACATTTGGGACTAGAGGCCCAAGCACAAATTTTTAACAGCCCCGTAACTCTCCGAAACTCCGAAAACGAAGCAGCGCCTCTATCGAACGTAAGAACAAACTCGCTTTTTCCTTATGGTAGCCATACACACTACGAGAAATCGTTACGATCAGACTGTACAGTTCGAACGGAATAGTTTATTGTACGTGGCGTACGTATAGGAAACTGTGCAGTTTTATAACATACACGCTACGATTTATCGGTACCGTTCGGACGGTACAGTCTAATCGTAACGATTTCTCGTAGTGTGTATGGCTACCATTACAAAATTTGCTGTCAAAAATTCGTGCTTGGGCCTCAGTGCGAGCGCTACCTCCAACCGCTAGAGACTCGCGTCTGCAACATTTATGTGCAAAAATCAAGTTAAGAAAAAAAAATTATAACTGTTCAGTAGACGGTTTTTTGAAGTCAAGTTTAAAGGATGACTTTCATTTGTAATTTGTACCTAATATAACAATAACTTTAACTTACACTAGTTATTATTGGTTTATATTTCAATTCTTTTTCCTGTTTCATTCTCAACAAAAAATCAAACAACTAGATACGTATGAGTGCCACTACTACGATTTCTTAATGAACAAGCCAAAGCTGACACAAGGAGTGCGCGACCGTCGCGCGTACGTATGAAAAATGACGTATAATGCGATTCAACTAAGAATAGGATCAACTGGGCGCTATTTTGTGATGTCATAGCTGTCAGTTGAAACAAAATAGGTAGAGTGAGCAAAAAAAGTTTTTCTTCGATAAAACTTATTTACTAAGATTAAGTGAGAAAAAACATCAGATTTTTTTTAAATAAAACTTATTTACTAAGATTAAGTGAGAAGAAACATCAGATTATATTAATAAGATTTATTTACTAAGATTAAGAAAAAAAAACAACCGATTTTTACTAACATTTATTTATTAAGACTGCGTGAGTAAAAATATTAATCGGAATCTAGCTCTTCAATTCCGATCAGCTCTGCATAACTACCGGAGTTGTCATCGTCGTCATGTTTGTTTACAAATGTTTGGTTTTTTTATTCTAGAATTAGCCGAGTGCTAAAAAAAAGAGTTCCAAAAGTTTTTTGCAAACCGTACTGTTCAAGCGTCATTTGACAGATGGAGGTCATTGGCTTTCTTATTCTTATTTGAATCGCATTATACATACATTGTGATAAACTTCTTTCCTAACTACTTACTTTGTGTATCTTATTTGACTTGTCTGAGTATGGATGTAAGTAGGTAACTTTAATTTAAATCTTTGATCAACAACAGTATTGTTGATTCAAATGAAATGGCTATGCAGGTACGCGATAGATTTTTTTTGCTAATGTAGATATCTGTAGAGCAGTGTACATATACAGCAGTCCATATTTCAGCTTGCCCCGCGCTAAAGCAACCACCAGACTGTATAATATATCGCCGTATCACCTACGTTTAGACTCATATTTTTATTTCCTAAGATACCGTCCTATATTTTTATGTTTTTTTATCAGATAACATATATGTACGTATTTAATTATGTTAGAGAGGAATGTGATGCTTTAAATACCATACATAGGGACTAGATGTCATTTTTATTTCTATGAAATCATTATGCTTTTTAAAAAGTTATTTTATATTATCGTAAATATATTGTAAATTACCTAATAACATGACGTGTTCATCGGAAACTTATGGATACTGGTTATATGGAATCAACTTTAATTACCGATAAAAATAGGTACCTATGATTTATATTTGGCTACTCTGCGCAATATTTGTCTTCAATATTTTTTTTTGATGAGTGAACCAGGGCCGTATTTTAAAATCTGGCGCCATGCGCCACTTATGACTGGCGCCCCTCAATCAGTATCAGTAGTAATCAAATCGAAATAATATACTTTAGTAACGAATGCCTTTACATAGTTTCTGCCGCCCCAGGCCATGACTCTCTTGGACCTATAGGGAAAATACGCCCCTGGAGTGAACATTTATTTATAAATACACATGTTACTTCTGTCCGCGGTGACTTTTTTTAATTGTGTATTTATGTTGTAAAAATAAAACTAAACATTTAGTGATACTGTCTGGTGGATCCCTCTCATCTCATGTGACGCGACAATATTTGATTTATGTTGAAAACAATGTGACTGAAAGTTATAATTTATTACGTTCTAATGTTAAATATTAATTTATTTGCAATAAAGTACATTATGATGTTATTATGTTTTGTTTTATTGAAGACTTTTTGGGAAAGGACATCACTATGTTAGTTAGATAAAATCACGGATAAAATTAATATTGAACTAGCGGTCCGCTCCGACTCTGCACGGGCGAAATGCATCACGATGGCTCAAAAAGAAACCAAAGTTCATACTTCAATATGCATCCTTGTCTACTTACGATTGAGCAGAAACCAAATTAAAGCAGTTTAAAGCGCTTAATCCATCTGACTAAATTCAGACGTCCTAGTGAGGATCCTAAAAAGAATGCTAATTAGAAGCTTCTGATTACACTTGACTACTTTAGTTAGTGATTCAGTCAGTTACAAGCGCGCGGCGAATAGGAGTGATGACGGGGTACAGTAAACGAAATTCTATTTAGTCCGTCAGTTAGATGATCAAAAAATAATGGACACGAATTTTTTCTTTGGGCAATCAACCAAAAAATGACAATGTTATAGCGCGTCAAAGTTTGGGAGTAGGGGCTCGTGATGTCACTTTTGAGTGAATTTTCACTTAAAAGTGTACTCAAACGTGACGTCATGCGACTTTTAAATCAATATATCTCTGCAATGTTTATATTATGTGAAAAAAGAAAAAATACGTGTCCAATACTTTTTAATGATCTACCTGATAAACGAAGAAAAAAAAATAGTCATCATCCCTATTCAGTCGGACTTTTTCGTAATGGCTCCAGTCCTGTCAAAGCAACAAAACATCTGTCTTCGTAGGCCTGGCCGCTACCTCAATAAAAATAAAATAAAGTAAAAAACGAAAAACATGGGTGAAAGAATATTGAAATTATTAATGTTATTTTTATTTTTTTTTGTTCCAAAGATACGGCATATGTTTATACAATTCGATTATGTTACTCATAACTTCTTTTTCTTTTACCGCCGACATCGCACACTCGCGTAATTAATAATCGTAGGCACAACACGTCCTTACGAGTCTAACTTGAGATCGTGATTCAAATCGATGTTGCACACTTACCACGGGCAACCCATGGCACCGCGCAACACACGATTTTGTAGCGTTTCTAGCGGTTTAAGACGGAGGTACGTGGGTAAAGCAAACACTCGCGTAGGTCATGATTGGGCGGATGCAAGTTTTGTAAATTGTCAACTTATGCCTAAGTGACATTTTACTACGCTTCCCTATGAGGTGGAATAGCCTTCCGCGAATGAATGCTGCGCGATCAAGATCACGATCTTGAGATGAGGTGCAAACGTCAATCGGTTATCTAGCGTAACTCTCAAGTACTTGACCCGGTCCTCCCAGGGGATGACCCGGTCAAATAGTTGGATGCTCGGAAGAGAACGCGTGGGCGGTGGTGTCGTGCTAAAGAGTGTCGCAACGTTTTTTCCGGATTAACCTCGATACGCCATCTACGGAACCAATCGCCAAGGGTGGTAGCAGCTGATTGAAGTCTATCATAGACTGTTCCGAGACGTCTATCGGAGGTATAGAGGGCGGTGTCGTCGGCGAAAAGCGCGAGATCGACTTTGGAGTCTTGGGCATTGTAATGTTTGTTTTTGAACAGGGCGTGACACTGACACTCATATTACTGACACACGTAGGACAGCTGTTTTGTCTATGATAGCGAACCGCTTATGTCAACGTAGCTGTCAAACTTCATTGATTGGGTTGGTAACATTGAAGGAATAGTTGCTTTTATTCGTTCGACTTAGGAATCGACTTGAAACACATGTAATGCTCCTCCACTACTTCTCCAGTCTACCTCAGAGCGCAGGGGAAACAATGAAAGAAAACAAATGAATTAAGATAACGTTATAATTATATTTTACTTACTATAGATATCTTAACACTTTACTTGATCACAATTTACGAAAGAAAATATTGTGTCAGTTTTATTTTTTTTAATTTTTTCCAAAGCAGACTAGGGTGTTCCGGTGATACCAGTACGTTACAAATATCATAAAGATACTGTGCGTAGCTGGCTTGAGGTCTATAAATACAAGTATTCGTTATAGTCTGTAGAAAAAGAGCAGGCCGCGCGGAAATTCGAACGTGGCCACCAAAGAGGCCACGGACTGTTGAGGGGTGCGTGCTCATGGCCACTTTGGAGGCCACGGACTGTCCAGTGGATAAAGAAGATGGCTTAATATAAATTTTAAGCATTCCAAAGGCTTATCAGGTAAATACAGTAGTTTTAAAGTTATAGTTTATATAAATCACTACCTTCTCATTCCAGACATTCATAACAAACTACAATGTACTTACATGAGTTCTTTAACTATATCTAATATATTTTACCTACTTTGCAATGGAATGTCAATTGAGAGACCACAAAACTAGACTTTTCCAGATAATAAACTATTCGGTGGATCTTAGGAGTCCTACGGCTCGTTTGATCGATATTGGTGATGCTGTATATTATGTTAATTCTTGTTCTCAATGAGACAACCAGTTATATATATATGGAAATGGGTAGTTCGGAGTCCAACCTCGCCTCGTGGTGTCTCTGCACCGTTCACCCAGGGTTAGTTAGAGAAATACCTTGATGACGATAGGTTTAGGATTGTATCTGTCAGCAGTTACAGCTGGGTTACATAAGACTGGAGCGTGGCTTGCAACCTTTATTGTAATAATCTCACGCGTCCCTCCTAGTCCGTGTATAGAGAGAGAATCTCCTTGTTATTAGCTTGATCATCCTCCAGCACTTCTTGAGGAGAATGTAACACCCACGAAGTTTCACATTGAAAAAATTGGTCAGACATTAGGAAAATACATAGATTGCTACTGTAGTGTATAATAAGTGTATTTAGCAAGTAAGCCAATATTGCTTACTTGTTAAACTTTATATTAAGTAACGCGCATGAGTCGCGACGGCATTAATAATTAAGACAGAATAGTAAATATGTAATCTTAAAGGAATAAATAAATAGTTTTATTAGTTTCATAACTGTTTTAATCAACGGCTCCTACGACAACCGTGGATGACGACCCTGCCAGTTGAGGTCTTCAGGCAAACCGGGATAAATCTAATGAAAATATAACTAGAAAAAATTCCACGCGGACCAGGCAGCAGACGGGACTCGAACCCGCACCCTTCGCAATCCGGGCGAATGCACTGACCAATTATGCTACCGCGGCCCTCACGGACCGCGTCGAAATTCTTTCTAGCTATTCTTAAGCTGCAAGGCAGCGCCATCTCTTCGCATTATAGGTAAACCCACAATGTCAAATGAATACTTTTACAAGTATTAAACATTTGAAAGAAGAAATAGCAATTATAGTTATAATTTTTGTTATTTTTAAAGCATGTAACTGCTTGATGTTTAAATCTAATGAAAATATAACTAGAAAAAATTCCACGCGGACCAGGCAGCAGACGGGACTCGAACCCGCACCCTTCGCAATCCGGGCGAATGCACTGACCAATTATGCTACCGCGGCCCTCACGGACCGCGTCGAAATTCTTTCTAGCTATTCTTAAGCTGCAAGGCAGCGCCATCTCTTCGCATTATATTATATTTTCATTAGATTTAAACATCAAGCAGTTACATGCTTTAAAAATAACAAAAATTATAACTATAATTGCTATTTCTTCTTTCAAATGTTTAATACTTGTAAAAGTATTCATTTGACATTGTGGGTTTACCTATAATGCGAAGAGATGGCGCTGCCTTGCAGCTTAAGAATAGCTAGAAAGAATTTCGACGCGGTCCGTGAGGGCCGCGGTAGCATAATTGGTCAGTGCATTCGCCCGGATTGCGAAGGGTGCGGGTTCGAGTCCCGTCTGCTGCCTGGTCCGCGTGGAATTTTTTCTAGTTATATTTTCATTAGATTTAAACATCAAGCAGTTACATGCTTTAAAAATAACAAAAATTATAACTATAATTGCTATTTCTTCTTTCAAATGTTTAATACTTGTAAAAGTATTCATTTGACATTGTGGGTTTACCTATAATGCGAAGAGATGGCGCTGCCTTGCAGCTTAAGAATAGCTAGAAAGAATTTCGACGCGGTCCGTGAGGGCCGCGGTAGCATAATTGGTCAGTGCATTCGCCCGGATTGCGAAGGGTGCGGGTTCGAGTCCCGTCTGCTGCCTGGTCCGCGTGGAATTTTTTCTAGTTATATTTTCATTAGATTTAAACATCAAGCAGTTACATGCTTTAAAAATAACAAAAATTATAACTATGATTGCTATTTCTTCTTTCAAATGTTTAATACTTGTAAAAGTATTCATTTGACATTGTGGGTTTACCTATAATGCGAAGAGATGGCGCTGCCTTGCAGCTTAAGAATAGCTAGAAAGAATTTCGACGCGGTCCGTGAGGGCCGCGGTAGCATAATTGGTCAGTGCATTCGCCCGGATTGCGAAGGGTGCGGGTTCGAGTCCCGTCTGCTGCCTGGTCCGCGTGGAATTTTTTCTAGTTATATTTTCATTAGATTTAAACATCAAGCAGTTACATGCTTTAAAAATAACAAAAATTATAAACCGGGATAAATCATGAGAGGATCTATAAGTAAGGAGGAAGTCGTGTTGGCTCAGACCGCATCAGGAGGTAACAATTTGTCCGAATTGAATCAGCTGTAGCACCATGTCCGTGCTACTAACACCGTGATGATCGTCGTGGCTGTCCTGTTCCTGATCGCCCTACTTATTGGAGGATTCTATTTATACCGAAGGTGTCATAGGAGCTGGGTTCGTGAGGAGTTACGAAAAGCGGCCATTCGTAAGGTTTTGAGCATCAAGAATCCGGCTTTCGAAGAGGCGTGATTAAGTGAGTGATATTAGAAGCCCTTATTTCTTTCATTTTCCTCGAGTGTTTCAAGTTGTATATTATGTGGTGCGCGGAAATTGCAGTGCTAGCGTTAAAATAAAGAGACAATGAACTTTCTATCATTGAACTTAATGTAGGTCAACACTATATTTTAATTATTAGTTGTAACATTACTTGTATTTTATATTAGTAATTCTTTAAATGTTTTTTTTTTATTTTGTAGAATTTTATATAGATGGCAGATGAAGGGTTACAGAAGTTATTAGATATTCAAAGTAAATTATTAATTATAAAAGAATATG